GACTCAGTGCTTCACAATCCCAGCACTTTTCAAAGTTTGGTTGTCATAACACTTTCAAGTGAGTGCCACACATCTAGAGAACAATTTGGCCCCTCACATCCCAAATCGGAAAAAAAACATTAGAAGCATTAAAGTCAGACGTCACTCGTGCCCTGTGGTGTTTTTTTTTTTTTTTTTAGTTTTAGCAGTGCTATGAGTTCACATACATACACAACAATGCACATGTACACACATATGGCGTTACACCATTCCACTCATCTACATGTGCATCGAGCATCATGTATAATACAACAACGCATGAACAATGGGAGGCAAGACGAGTCAAAGGAGCCAGCAGAAAGGTCAGCTCTGTTGAGGACTAAAGTGTATCTGAATGTAAAAGTTAAAACTTTCTCCCTTTTTGGTTTACTAAAATGGAATAGCTGAATGTGATTACACAGAAACTCCACAGGGTACCTTTAATCTCCATAAAGCTTCCTCATCGTGTGTAGGATCTCTGCCAGCTGTAAATAGCATGGATATTATGAGAACAAGCTGGCACTCTTTTACATGTACTGACGCTGCGGTGGCGAAAAAATCTTCCTCCTGCAGCTCCTCCCAGGCCCCTCCTCCTTGAAGCAAGCTGCTTCGCTCTCTCCTCTGCATTGAAGAAGTCCGTGGTGGCCCTAAAGAATTCCAGTGAAGCTCTGTGGCTCCAGTTGATCCCGTGACTCTCCATCCCTCTGTTTGATGCAGCCACGGAGCCCACTGCACCCACAGCACCAGCATCATTCCCTTCAGATTGGGTGGAGAAACCGCAGTGACCTCCACGGTCAGTTAGGAGGAGAAAAAAATGTGGATTTGTTTCAAAAAGTTCCAAGGGGACTGTGGACTGGGCGTCTCCACGGATAGGGTCATCCTTAGCACACACGCTCAAAACAGGAATGGCCACTTCATCCACATCTCTTAAGGGTTCATTGTGTTCCCAGTAAGCATCCCAGGTAATTGATGTATTGCTGCTACAGTCGTTTCCTGTTGGTGCTGCAGGTGTAGAGTCAGGATATCCAGGCTGACAAAATAGTGCTTCCTCCAGGCCACGCAAAGAATGGCTGGAGAACAGAGTGTCTGTCTGCAGGGTCTCAGCCAGCACGGTCCTGTATCTATCAATACAAGCACGCACACACACACACACACACACACACACACACACACACACACACACACACACGGTTACAAAGACAAATGAAAAAACAGTAAATCAATTCTGAAGAGCTGCATGGGTCTCATACTCCTCATTGGCCTTGATTTGAGAAACTTTGCCATGGTCACGATGTCTCTCAGAATCAATGACTCAACACTGAGCGAGCTATTTGTTGCTACAGTGACATGACTGTTTCCTAAATTGTATGTGCCTCTCCAATTGAAGGTTTGTGAGTACTTATTTGTCTGTTTGTCACACAAGTCTCCTTCTCCCTTTCGGCCCACAAAAACATTGCGATTTTCCGTCTTAAAGGACATAATTTTAAGTTGTACTTCGAACGGGAGCCTTATTGAGCTCCTTTTTTTCTTCCCTTTGCAAGCTACCAAATATCATTAAAAGAAAACTTAAATTTTCATACAGTTGTATTTATAGAATTCTTTTATTTTGGTGTTGTGCTTTGTGTATGCCACATGATCACATGGCCTCATGACTTTGAGTGTACAATGCATATTTTACTCATTAGTATAGCTCAAATTTGTACATCCTGTGTCACAAACACAAACATAGCACAAGCTCATGCTATGTTAATTTCAGCCACAGCATGTAAGCAGCTCAAATGAATTACCTTGTGACACAATGCCCTTATCCTTACATGGCTGCACTTTGACAATTTAAGCTGAATAAAACTGAATTCCTGAAATGTTACCGTGTATTTGGACAAATACACACTTTGTCTCGTCTTCTGTTGTTCTGGGGATGCAGCAATAAACCCCAAGAACAAGTCAGAATGGACAAGACAAATTAGCAGTCAAATAATTAGACGAGCTTCTTACATTATGAAGGATTTTACTTATTTAATCATCTGCCTTTTTTTGACTCGCTGTTGCGATATGGATATGCATAAATCATCATACAATACAAAATGTAGCCAAAGCTATAAAAATAAAACCCAAGTGGTAATATTGTGGAGTTAAGGCCACTGTTTTACTATCAGTCTGTCAATACACAGTTTTTTTTCAGTCATGTGACAGACTCACTGCTCTCGTGGTCACAACATTACTCCATCTGGCTCATAGTGGACAGTACTGCAGGCCAAAAGTGTTGCTTTTTTCACCAGTCTTGAGTCAAGACTACTTGGATCTCTTGTGATCCATATTCTGACCCGGCAGCTTTATTTAAGTCCCTGAAAGTGACAATATCTCTCCTAGACCTGCAGTTCGGTGCCAGGATGAAAGATGTCATCCTGGCGTAAAGTATAGACAGGTACATGTATTTTGATCTGAATGGGTAAATAATGTCACCGTCTGGGAGGTGAAGAACTAGAAATTGTTCATCATTAAAGCAAAGGTAAGTAATACATAGCAAGCTTAAACAAAGCTACATGTAAATCTTACAATTTGTCAACTTGAACATTTACAGTGTAGGGCCAGAAAAGTTCTGGTAGTATTAATTTTTCACATTAATGTCATGTCATGACAGTAAAGCTGACTGATTATTTTCCAGTGTCAGGTAGGAAACATTTCTATGAGCTGCCACTAACAGCGTGTGTCGCTGGCCCTTCTGGCAGCTGTAAATAAACATTGATGTATGCATCTGATAGCACAGCAACTATCTGATATTTCGGCTAAGTTCAATTTGAAGACATTCAAATAATGACTGGAGTGCAAAGGACTACTTTTGCCCATGAGGTGGGCATGTCCCAGTAGTTTTGACATCATGTAAAAACTATGGATAACTGGTTCTTATCCCCCCCCCCTCTCTGTACCTGCTGAGACATATTTTCTGGTACAGCACCAACGCCCCCTGCAGGGGCCAGCACAGCCCACTCTCAAACCAGCTCTGGCAGCGGAACACAGGAGACAGGCAGACAGCCGCCGTCACGTAGCTTGAAGATCCACACTCCCCCAGGTAGGACAGCAGAAGGCCCGACCCTGAGCTCTCGCTCACTGCATACAGTCTACCCGCAGGCTGCCGGTAGCGAATGTAGCGCACAGCCTCTCGTAGATCTGCAGGATCACCAAACTGCTGCAGTTTCACGGTTGTAAGTGGGCAGCTGTTGTGGTTGCGGCGATTGAATACCACGGGAAGGTAGCCATGGGACAGTGCCATTTCACACAACTGTTGAAAGAAACAAAGCAGATTGATTGATTATTTATTTATATACACACACACACACACACACACACACACACACACACACACACACACACACACACACACACACAC